CCCACGCTCCTCCTCCCCACATCATCACCTCACCGCTCTCATAGCAAACAACTCCCAGCCTCAATCCGCCCTCCCCCCAACTTCCAGCCGTTCCCCCTTGTCCTGCACTTTACCACCCCTTTCCAAACACCCAATTCTTACCATGTCCCCCCCCTTTCTCCTGCTCCCCCCTTCCTTCCTTCCCCAGGGTACATCCAGCGCCGGCTGATCAAATCCATGGAGTCGGTGATGGTGAAGTACGACGCCACAGTGCGCAACTCCATCAACCAGGTGGTGCAGCTGCGCTACGGCGAGGACGGGCTGGCGGGGGAGAGCGTCGAGTTCCAGAACCTGGCCACCCTCAAGCCTTCCAACAAAGCCTTTGAGAAGAAGTAAGGACCCCCCTGTACCCCAAAATGGCGTCACGGGGTCCCCGAGCCGCCCCTCCCCACGGCAGGTTGGCTTTTGGGGGTCCCTGGTTGCACCTCCCCACACCAGGGTGCGTTTTGGGGTCCCCACGCTGCTCCTCCTCCTCACATCAGGGCACATTTTGGGGTCCCCAATCCTCTCTTCCTCCCATCAGGGCACATTATGGGTCCCTATGCTCTTCCTCCCCACGTCAGGGCACATTTTGGGGTCCCCACGCTGCTCCTCCTCCTCACGTCAGGGCACATTTTGGGGTCCCCTATTCTCTCTTCCCCACATCAGAGCACATTCTGGGTCCCCAATCGTCTCTTCCTCCCATCAGAGCACATTCTGGGTCCCCACGCTCCTCCTCCTCACGTCAGGGCACATTTTGGGGTCCTCAGTCTTCTCCACTCATCAGGGCACGTTTTGGGGTCCCCAATCTTCTCGTCCTCACATCAGAGCACATTTTGGGGTCCCTATGCTCTTCCTCTCCGCATCAGGGCACATTCTTGGTCCCCTATTCTCTCTTCCCCACATCAGGGCACATTCTGGGTCCCCTATTCTCTCTTCCCCACATCAGGGCACATTTTGGGGTCCCCAATCCTCTGTTCTTCACATCAGGGCACATTTTGGGGTCCCCATGTTCCCCCTTCCCACATCAGGGTACATTTTGGTGGTCCCCTATTCTCTCTTCCCCACATCTGAGCACATTTTATGGTCCCCTATCATTTGTTCCTCACATCAGGGCACATTTTGGGGTCCCCAATCTTCTCTTCCTCCCCTCAGAGCACATTTTAGGGCTCCCTATGGATGCCCCTCCTCACATCAGGGCACATTTTGGGGTTCCTTGTCTTCTCTTCCCCACATCAGGGCACATTCTGGGTTCTCTATCCTCTCTTCCTCACACCAGGGCACATTTTGGGGTCCCCTGCTTTCTCTTCCCCACATCAGAGCATATTTTATGGTCCACTATCCTTTGTTCCTCACATCAGGGCCCATTTTGGGGTCCCCACGCTCCTCCTTCCCACATCAGGGTGCATTTTGGGGGTCCCCTATCCTCTCTTCCTCACATCAGGGCACATTGTGGGATCCTCATTCTTCTTCCCACATCAGGGCACGTTTTTGGCTTCTCTATCCTCTCTTCCCCACATCAGGGCACATTCTTGGTTCTCTATCCTCTGTTCCTCACATCAGAGCACGTTTTGGGGTCCCCATGCTTCCTCTTCCCACATCAAGGTACGTTTTGGGGGTCCCCTATCCTCTCTTCCTCCCATCAGGGCACATTTTGGGGTCCCCAATCTTCTCTTCCCCACATCAGGGCACATTCTGGGTTCTCTATCCTCTGTTCCTCACATCAGGACACATTTTGGAGTCCCCAAGCTCCTCCTTCCCACATCAGGGCACATTTTGGGGGTCTGCTATCCTCTCTTCCTTACACCAGGGCACGTTTTGGGGTCCCCTATGGAAGCCCCTCCGCACATCAGGGCACATTTTGGAATCCCTGTGCTCTTCCTCCCTACATCAGGGCACACTTCATGGTTCCCCATCCTCTCTTCCTCCCATCAGGGCACATTTAGGGGTCCTCAATCCTCTCTTCCTCGCATCATGGCGCATTTAGGGGTCCCTAATCCTCTCTTCCTCCCATCAGGGCACATTCTGGGTCCCCTATTCACTCTTCCTCCCATCAGGGCACATTTTGGGTTCCCCAATCCTCTCTTCCTCCCATCAGGGCACATTTTAGGGTCCCCTATCCTCTCTTCCTCCCATCAGGACACACTTTGGGGTCCAATTCCCGTCACCCCCCCCTATTTCTCCATCCCCCCAGGTTCAAATTCGACTACACCAACGAGCGCGCACTGCGCCGGACGCTGCAGGAGGAGCTGGTGAAGGACATCCTGAGCAACGCGCACATCCAGAACGAGCTGGAGAGGGAGTTTGAGAGGATGCGCGAGGACCGCGAGGTGCTCAGGGTCATCTTCCCCACCGGCGACAGCAAGGTGACGGCGACGGCCTGATGCCACTTGTGGCTGTGCTCAGGGCTCAGGGCCGTGTGCTGGGGGGGGTTGGGGGGGGGGGAGGCCGCACTCTTTTGGGGGGGCCCCCTTCAGTGGTCGGGGGCCTGGGTCGTCAGAGAGGGGGAGGGGGGGGGAGGTTGGGATCTGGCCCTTTTTCGGGGGTCGTGACATCTTTTGTCGTGATCTTTTGATGGGGTAGGGGAGGGGAGGATGTAGAGACTGGGGTCTCTGTGTGTAGGGGAGGGGTTGGGAAGGGTCTTTTTGGGGGTCCCATTTGGTGTTCTGTTGCCCGGGTCGTCAGAGTTGGGGGGTGGGGGGGGGTTGGGATCTGGGGTGTAGGGATCTGCTCCCCTTTTTTGGGGGTCGTGACCTCATTATTTTGGTTTGTTTGGTGATGGGGGGGGTCTGCAGGTGGTGCTGCCCTGTAACCTCCTGCGCATGATCTGGAACGCGCAGAAGATCTTTCACATCAACTCCCGCCTGCCCTCCGACCTGCACCCCGTCAAGGTGGTGGAAGGTGAGATGGGGGGGGACGGACCCCAAAAACGCTTTGGGAGACCCAGTGGGTGACACCAAGGGGGGATTTAGGGGCCCTGAGGAACCGCCCCCCCCCCCCCCCCCCAAAAAAAAAATAATGCTCAGGGACTCCTTGAAGAAACTGGAGGACCCCAGGAGGAACCCAGGGACCCCCAGAAGGAACTTGAGGACCCCATAAGGAGCTCAGAGACCCCCAGAACAAACTGGGAGACCCCAGGAGTCACTCAGGGACCCCAAAATGGAATTTGAGGACCCCAAGAACGCGCTTAGGGATCCCAAGGAGGAACTTGAGGACCATAGAAAGAGCTGAGGGACCCCCAGAACAGACTTGGAGACCCCAGGAGTTGCTCAGGGACCCCAAAATGGAATTTAAGGACCCCAAGAAAGCGCTTAGGGCCCCAAGGAGGAACTTGTGGACCCCATTAGGAGCTCAGGGACCCCCAGAACAGACTTGGAGACCCTGGGAGTTGCTCAGGGACCCCGAAATGGAATTTGAGGACCCCAAGAAAGGGCTTAAGGCCCCAAGGAGGAACTTGGGGACCCCCAGAACAGATTTGGAGACCCCAGGAGTCGCTCAGGGACCCTCAGAAGGAACTTGAGGTCCACAGGAGGAGCCCAGGGATCCCCAGCAGGAACTTGAGGAGCTCACAGACCCCCGGGAGGAGCTCAGGGAACCCCAGAACAAACTTGGAGACCTCAGGGACCCCTAGAAAGAACTTGAGGCCCCCTTAAGGAGGCATGGGGTGATCCACAGACCCCGATAACAGCGCTGAAGTGACCTGGGGACCCCCCCCCCCGTCTCCCCCTCCCCAATTGCAGGCGTGAAGGAGCTGAGCCGTAAGCTGGTGATCGTGAATGGGGAGGACCCTCTGAGCAGGCAGGCGCAGGAGAACGCCACGCTGCTCTTCAACATCCACCTGCGCTCCACGCTCTGCAGCCGCCGCATGGTGGAGGAGTTCAGGCTGAGCGGGGAGGCGTTCGACTGGCTGCTGGGGGAGATCGAGTCCAAGTTCAACCAGGCCATCGTGAGCCAGATTCGGGGGGCTGGGGGGTCCTGCCGTGTGTGCCAGCGGCTCCCCATAGAGGTGGAGGGACAGATTTGGGGGCTATAAGGTCGTATTTGGGGGCATCGGGTGGTCTTGGTGTTCCCCCCCCCCGTGTCTCCCAATGGAGGAGGAGCGCCCTGTTTGGAGGCTATGGGGACATGGGGTGGTTTTGGGGGTCCTCCCACGTGTCCCAAATTCTCCCTGTGGAGATGGAAGATCAGACCGGGGGGGGTTGATGTAAGGATGGATTTGGGTGCATCAGGTGTTTCGGGGTCCCCCTGTGTGTCCCAGTGGCTCTCCTTACAGGTGGGGGGTCAGATTTGGGGTCATCCGTCGGTCTTGGTGCTCCCCCCATTGCCCCCACGTCTCCCAGTGAAGGTGGAGGGCCATAGTTGGAGGCTGTCGGGACAGATTTGGGGGCATTCGGTGGTCTTGGCATCCCCAGCGTGTCCCACTTGCTCTCCGGAGATGTAAAATCAGAGTGGGGAGGGGGTGTAAGGATGGATTTTGGGGGATGTAGGGCCAGATTTGGGGGTTATAGGGTCAGATTTGGGATCATCAGTTGGCCCCGGTGTTCCCCCCCGTGCGTCCCCATGTCTCCTGGTGAAGGTGGAGGGTCGTATTTGGAAGATGCAGGGACTGATTTGGGGTCATTCCGCGGTCTTGGTGTCCCCCAGCGCGTCCCAGTTGCTCCCCACAGAGATGTGGGATCAGATTTTGGGATCCAAGACCACTTTGGGACCACGTTCGGGGACCCTTGGGGATCTGGAACCTGGCGGTGGGGTCCAGGACCACCTTCAGGGCCTTTTTAGGATGTGATTCTGACCCCCCCCCCCCCCTAGGCTCACCCTGGTGAGATGGTGGGTGCCCTGGCAGCGCAGTCCCTGGGGGAGCCGGCCACGCAGATGACCCTCAACACCTTCCACTACGCCGGTGTGTCAGCCAAGAACGTGACGCTGGGGGTCCCGCGGCTGAAGGAGCTCATCAACATCTCCAAAAAACCCAAAACTCCATCACTCACCGTCTTCCTGCTGGGCCAAAGCGCCCGCGATGCTGAACGTGCCAAGGTGGGACCTGGGGACAGACCTGTGGTGGCCTCGTGGCTCCGTGTCCTGGTGGTCTGATGGTGGCCCCACGTCCTCCTGACCCCATGGCTCCATGTCCTGGTGGCCCCACATCCTCCTGACCCCATGCCTCCATGTCCTGGTGGCCCCACGTCCTCCTGACCCCATGGCTCCATGTCCTGGTGGCCCCACATCCTCCTGACCCCATGGCTCCGTGTCCTGGTGGTCCTGTAGTGGCCCCACGTCCTCGTGGCCCATTGATGTCCCAGTGACTCTGTGTGTCCCTGTCACACCGTGGCCCAATGATGTCCTCACCGCCTGATGCTGGCCCCGTGTCTCCGTGTCCTCATAGCCCTACAATGGTGGCCTTGTAGTGGCTCCATGTCCTTGTGACCCTGTGTTTCTGTGTCCTGGTGGTCCTGTGGTGGCCCATGTCCTTGTGTCCTTTGGTGGCCCAGTGGTGGCTCCACGTCCTGCTGACCCCATGGCTCCATGTCCTTGTGGTCCTGTGGTGGCCCCACGTCCTCGTGGCCCATTGCTGTCCCAGTGACTCTTTGTCTCTCTGTGGCACCGTGGCCCCACGGTGGCCCAATGATGTCCCATGTCCTCACAGCCTGATGTCCCCGTGTCTCTGTGTCCTCATAGCCCTACAATGGTGGCCTTGTAGTGGCTCCATGTCCTCGTGACCCTGTGTTTCTGTGTCCTTGTGGTCCCATGGTGACCTGTGTCCTTTGGTGGTCCTGTGGTGGCCCCACGTCCTCCTGACCCCATGGCTCCTGTCCTCACAGCCCTACAGCAGTGGCCACGTGGCTCCACATCCCCACGACCCTCAGTGGCCCCATGGTGACCCTGTGTATCCTCATGACCTGATGGTGACCCCCCACCCTTTTCCCCCCCCCCCCAGGACATCCTGTGCCGCCTGGAGCACACCACCCTGCGCAAGGTGACAGCCAACACCGCCATCTACTACGACCCCAACCCTCAGAGCACGGTGGTGGCCGAGGACCAGGAGTGGGTCAACGTGTACTACGAGATGCCTGACTTCGACGTCAGCCGCATCTCCCCGTGGCTGCTCCGCATCGAGCTGGACCGCAAGCACATGACGGACCGCAAGCTGACCATGGAGCAGATCGCCGAGAAGATCAACGCTGGTGGGTTCCATGGGGCAGGGGGGGGGGGTGTAAGGCTTCTT